AATCAGTAGCATTTCCATACGCAAATAACACTCAAGCTAAGATCCAAATCAAGCATGCAATCTCATTTACAATAGCCACAAAACCAAAAATCCCTAGAAATATTCCCAACTTAAGAGGTGAAAGATCTCTACAAGAAGAACTACAAAACACTGTAAAAAGAAATCATAGATGACACGAACAAATGAAAAAACATCCTATGCTCATGGATTAGAAGAGTCAATATTGTCGAAATGGCCATACTGCCCAAAGCAATCTGTAGATTCCATGCTATGCCTATCAAACTACTAATGCCATTTTTTATTGAATTAGAAAACAAATGATTATAAAATTCATATGGAATCAGAGAAGAGCCTGAATAGCCTAAGCAATTCTAAGCAAAACAAAGGTGGAGGCATCAAATTGCCCCACTTTACATGATACAGCATGTCTATACTAGCCAGACAGCATGGTAGTGGTACAAAACCAGACACATAGACCAATGGAACAAAATAGAGAACCCAGAAAGAAAGCTGCATGCCTACAGCTGTCTGATCTGTGACAAAGTCAACAAAAATAAGCAATGAGGAAAGATCTCCCTATTCAATAAATTCTGCTGGAACACACCTGCAATACCTGACTAGCCATACACAGAAGAAAATAACGGGATCCCTACATTTCACCATATACAAAAACTAACTCAAGATAGATTAAAGATTTAAATGTAAGACCTCCAACTATAAGAATCCTAGAAGAAAACCTAGAAAACACAATTTCAGACATTGGCCTTCAGAAACAATTTATGACTAAATCCTCAAAAGAGACTGTGACAAAAAAGTTGACAAGTGGGACTTAAACAAAAAAGATTTTGCAGAGCAAAAGAAACAATCAACAGAATAAACAGGCACCCAACAGAATGGGAGAAAATATTTGCAAGCTATGCATCTGATAAAGGTCTAACATGCAGAATCTATTAGGAACTTAAACAACTGAACAAGCAAAAAAAAAAAATTGTAAAGTGGGCAAAAGATATGAACAAACACTGTTCAAAAGGAGACATACAAATGGCCAGAAAACAACAGATGCTGGCCAGACTGTGGAGAAAAGGGAACACTTACAGACTGTCTGTGGGAATGTAAATTGGGTCAGCCACTGTGGAAGGCAGTTTGGAGATTTCTCAAATAACTTAAAACAGAAATAACATTCATTCCAGCAATCTTATTACTTGGTATCCATCCAAAAGCAAATAAATTGTTCTATCAAAAAGACATACACTTGTATGTTCATTGTAGCACTGTTCACAACAGCAAGACATGGGGTCAACCAAGATGCTCACCAATGGTGAACCAGATAAAGAAAATGTAGTACACATAAACCATGGAATAGTACACGGCCATAAAAAAGAATGAAATCATGTCCTTCACAGAAACATGGATAGAGCTGAAGGCTATTATCCTAAACAAATTAATGCAAGAAGAGGAAACCGAGTACTGCATATTCTCACTTATAAGTGGGAGCTAAACACTGGGTATGTATAGGCATAAAGATGGCAACAATAGAACTGGGGCTACTAGAGGGGGAGGGAGAGAGGGAGTAAAGGTTGGAAAACTTAACTATTGTGTACTATGCACAGTGCCCGGTTGATGAGAATCTATAAAGACAAACAAATTTACAAGAGAAAAACAACCCCATCAAAAAGCGGGTGAAGGATATGAACAGACACTTTTCAAAAGAAGACATTTATGCAGCCAACAAATATATAAAGAAAAGCTCATCATCATTGGTCATTAGAGAAATGAAAATCAAAACCACATTGAGATACCATCTCAAAGCAGTTAGAATGGCAATCATTAAGAAAACTGGAGACAACAGATGCTGGAGAGGCTGTGGAGAAATAGGAACACTTTTACACTGTTGGTGGGAGTGTAAATTAGTTCAACTATTGTGGAGGACAATGTGGCGATTCCTCAAGGATCTAGAAATAGAAATACCATTTGACCCAGCAATCCCATTACTGGGTATACACCCAAAGGATTATAAATCATTCTATTATAAATACACATGCACAGTATGTTTATTGTGGCACTGTTTACCATAGCAAAGACTTGGAACCAACCCAAATGCCATCAATGATAGACTGGATAAAGAAAATGTGGCACATATACACCCTGGAATACTATGCAGCCATAAAAAAGGATGAATTCATGTCTTTTACAGGGACATGGATGAAGCTGGAAACCATTTTCAGCAAACTGACACAAGAATAGAAAATCAAACACTGCATGTTCTCACTCATAAGTGGGTGTTGAACAATAACACATGGACACAGGGAGGGGAACATCACACGCTGGGGCCTGTAATGGGGAGGAGGGACTGGGGGAGGGGTAGCAGAGGGTGGGAGTATAGGGGAGGGATAACAGTAGGATAAATGCCTAATGTAGATGACATGGGGATGGATGCAGTAAACCACCATGGCACATGTATACCTATGTAACAAATCTTCAAATTCTGCACCTGTACCCCAGAACTTAAAGTATAAAAAGATATTTTATCCCTTAACTTTGACAATCTAAAAAAAATGAGACTTCAACTTTTTTTCTGCCTTCAGACTTGAACTGAAGCGTTGACTCTTTGTGGTTACTAAACATGCTGGCCTTTAGATGGCACCATTTGCTTTCTTGGTTCTGACTAGAGCTACACTATTGTCTCTCCAACTTGCTACACCATTATCTCCAAGTTACTGACTCAGCTGCTGATCTTGGGACTTGCCCAGCTCCATAACTGCTTATGCCAGTTCCTTATAGTAAATTTCTTTATATATATAAATATGCATATGATTCTGTTTCTCTGGAGAACCCTAATAAAGATTTTCGTACTAAGAATAATTCTGGAAGAAGAGAATCTTAAGGATAAACTTAAATAGGTTCTGAGGTTTCTGGAATTAATTCTCTAATCTGATTAGATTTAAAGACTACTGACTCTGTTTCTAGTGAAGAGAAAAATGGTGGTCCATGACATAATGTGGCAATAAAGATGCATAAAATATCACTATTGGATTCTCCTAATGAAATACTTAATAAGAAGCAACGGTCTGGATGATCTTGTATTTGATATTTTCTAAGATTTTTTGTCAAACTCATGAGTAAAATGAGGATGGCTGGTTGCTTCTAATGTTGTTGGACAAAGGGGAGAAAGAAAAGGATGACCTCAAGGGTCAAATTCCCAGCTAAAGTGCTGTGTAAATGACCTGAACGTTTCTATGTGTTTCCTCAAGAGACCCTTATTTCTTGTAGCTGCAGGGCTGAGATTGCTGAAAATCAAACCAGAATCTCATCTTGCAACTGACTGAATTACAATGCAAGTTTACTGCTAGTCTTGCAGGGTAAGAATGAACAGGCAACCAACAAAATTTTTTGCAATCTATCCATCTGACCAAGGGCTAATATGCAGAATCTATAAAGAACTTATATTTACAGGAAAAAAAAAAACAACCCCATCAAAAAGTGGGCAAAGGATATGAACAGACACTTTTCAAAAGAAGACATTTATGCAGCCAACAAATATGAAAAAAGCTCATCATCACTGAGTCTACTATTAAAGTAAAGGCATTGATTGGAAGGGAACAGGGTGCAGAAAGTTGTAATGGAGATATGAGGGAAGACTCTGATGAAGCTGAAAACACTGAGCCCCTAAATTCTGTTTTCTCTGTTAGTGGAAGAGGTCTTCACACCCAAGTAGAGGCAGAATCCCCAGTCCTAGTGGAAGCAGTCTGTTACCCCATGTCTGAGGGGATTAACCCTGTCTTCTGCCTTGCCTAAGGAAACTGTACTGTCCTACCATGAGGCAGTTGCCATGCAAGGCACTTCTGCTTCTCCTCAGAACCAACCCCCAAGAATTCCTCTTTCATTTCAGACATATAACTAGATACAAGTCCCAGCAGCACGTAAAGGGGAGATATAAGGTATAAAGCATGAGGAAGTGTGCTATACATCAAATGGACAATTTGAGTTTTCTAATTTATACAAGAAGAAAACTGGGGAATATGTGTGGAAATGGATATAAGGGTGTGGGATAATGAAGGAAGGGACATAAACCTGGATCAGGCAAAATTTACTAATATGGCCTCACTAAGCAGTGATTCTACATTTAATGTGACAGCTCAGGGAGTTAGGAAGGACTCTAATTGCTTGCTTGTTTTCTTGGCGGAAACCTAGACCAAAAGATAGCATTATTCTGGGAGTTTCTGTGAGGGTATTTATAAATGACATTAACATTTAAGTAGGTAGAATGAGTTCAGCAGATGGCCCTCCATTGTGTGAGCCGGCCTCATCCAATTAGTTGAAGACGTAAATAGAACAGAAAGTCTGACCTGCCCCTAAGTTAGATAATTATTTATTTCTGGCTGATGGCCTTCATACCGGGACATTGGATTTCTTTTTATTTTTCTGCCTTCAGACTTTATGGAAATACCAGCTCATCCTGGGTTTCAAGTTTGCCAGTCTTTTGATGGAAGCTACACTATTGGGTCTCCTGTTCTCAGGTCTTTGGACTTGGACTGGAACTACATCATTGGCTTCCCTGGGTCTCTGACTTGCTAATGCACATTGCAGATCTTAGGACTTGACCGCCTCCATGATTGTGTGAGCCACTTTCTTATAATCAATCAATCAATCACCATTGGTTCTGTTTATCTGAAAACCCTAACACAGCAGTGTTCCATGAAAGCAATGGATGGAATAATTTTCATGCCCTTGGCATAATTCTGGCACAGTAGCATAGAAACTGGCTGCTGTGAACATAACATGAGAAAAACCTTATGGTTGGAGGCTTTTTCTTAGACTAGATTAAAATAAAATAAATTATGACAATTACCTGTAATGTAAGGTGTTCTAGATGTTATCTGCAAAAAGAACCAGAGTAGTAATACTTAGGCAACCCCAAAGACCTTCGAGAAGTCATAGGTCAAGGGAGGACATCATATGGGGATCAGGCAAATCCACTTATGGGCACTGGGCCCCATTCTGCTAAGTAATGCCCTTTACTCTAGTGCTGCCAGTTATGTAACAAAAACTAAAACAGGTCTCCTTTAAAAAATAACTTTACAAAATAATTGAGTCAATTTCTTTGCTGAAGCCTGTGTTCCCTGTTTCCTATTGCAAAAGCCATTTATTGAGCATTCATAGCTTGTGAAAATTGCTTTATGAAATAGAAGACCACAAGACTGAGTTGCCTGAAATCCTTCTGACCACAACTGGGGGCAACAGGAACTCAAGAGGGCCTGGCTTCCAGGACAATGGAGCCACCAGCTGGCCAGCTGAATCCATCATGCCACTTAAAAAGTACAAGTGTGCTGGAATCAAACAGGACTCAGAGGTAATCCACAGGCCACTTGCTGAGTCCTGCCAAATCTGCACCTGCTGCCCTCTGAAATGTAGATCCCACTCCTTTTGGAGGAAATGGGTGAAAGAGAAGTATGAAGTGCAGGTGCAGTAGCAGAGTGGAACTTGAGTCACCCATTCCCCAAACTCCCTGGACACCAACGCTGCTTCCATCTCCTTCCCTTCAAATTCTCTGCCACGGGACCATCAAAATGGTAATATTTTGGCAAATTAGTATAATAGCCAATGCTTCAGAAGAAAAAAGGAAAATTCCATCTACTTAATATACAGAAAAAAGGGAGGTAAATGTGGGCATTACTTCTTGTCGCACAGATCAGTTATGTGGGTTCCTGGAAAGGGTGGGTGCCCTCTGTGTGTATGCCTGAGAAAGTCCCTGAAGGCTGCTTTCTGTAACTCAACCCTCCTGAAACACTGAAAAGCTAGTGAAAAGATTTCTCAGCGGACGCAGAACAAGAGGGGACATCTGATGCCTGCTTTATTCAGTCACGAGTAATCTGTCTTGCCTCACTCACTTTTGTTAGAATTGAGTAATAGGCAGCATGCCTTCACTTGAGCCCAGCAGATATAAGCACCATCCTTACAGGCTGGCTTCCTGACTGAGAGCAAGGAGCAGCAGGCATGGGGCACGCCGGGCGCCAGTTCCAGGCCCTGCTGTGGAAGAATTGGCTCTGCAGACTCAGGAACCCGGTGAGTCCTTGCCTTGGTTTTCCATAGTTCCAGTGAGGTCTGGAGTGAGATTAGGGTCTGTTCTTGCCTGCCTGCCTCTACCTCCTGGCAGGTACAAACACTCACACTGCAGGGAACGTAGGGAGGTTGGATTATTTTAAATCAAAACCTGTCTGAAGGGCCGAAGTAGCTGAACACTTTAATGACCGGCATGAAATCAAGGCTGAAGAATTTATCAGAAAAGGGCAAATGTAGAAAAACTCTTAAAAAAAAAAAAGAAAAAAACAAGTGGAATTTGAACTGTAATTTGTGTTCTAAGCATTCATTGTAAAAACTGAGCAATGACTTCTCAGGTTTAAGGAACAAAGCATTAGCTGTATTTAATGCATAAACAGAATGCTACAGGTACCGACCCCAAAGCACGAGACTGCACAATGTGCCTCCGCAGAGCGGGGCAGGATGCATCCGCTCAGTGTTATTCTGTAGGGTCACATCTTTAGTGTTAATTCACATCTATTTAGAACTGTATTCAAATTACATCAGCAAGGTTTTCCTAAGCAGATTGGAATTGCTCAAATCAAACTTGTGTGAGTACTTAAGCAAATCTCTTGTATGTTTTTAAAATCAAATAGAAATCAATTACTTATTATTATGATTAATATTATTCTTGATGCCACTACAGAAGCATTAACACATATAAATGTCATTATCAGTAGAAGTAAATCTGCAGTAATTTACCTATATCATTTCTGATTTTAAGGTCTACAGTTAATCCTATGGGATTTTTCTGCTGACAAATGCTTCGGCTTGAAGAGATTCAGTAATTGACATTGAATTACATTTTGCTGAATCCTCAGAGCCAGAATATTCTATCTCTCTGTCTCAAAATAAAATACACATTAAAGGAGATGTTTTCTTTTTTATGTGATCTTTAGGATCAAAATAATTTCAGTTGAAAGTTAGTATAACAGTTTTTAAGTTCAGGAAAAAAGGAGTGAGACACTCTTCATGAATTGTTAAGAGTGCTGGTGTCTGTGTAGGTAGTTTTACATTTATAAACAGTGTATTTCACTGACATGTCAGTTTGTTTTAGGGAATTAGCCTATTTTCCCATGAAAGAGTGTTACAGGTGGAAGCTGGTTCCCAGGCACTGCTCTTTCTGCTTTCTGTGTACCAACCTCAACACAGTTCAGTGACAGAGGTAGCCAGACTGCCTACTCCTCCTTACTGGACATTTGAGTTTTAAAAAATTTTCACAATTACTTTCGCTGCGAGACATCCTCATCAGAAGGTTTTATTTGTTTGATAACTGTTCATTTAAAATGGTAACTCCTGTGCTCCACCTTTCTTTGCCTTATTTTTCTTTAGTATTTATCCTCTTGTACCGCACCACAGACTTCCTTATTTGTCAATTGCCTCTGGATCCTACATGTTACATTCATGAGAGGTGGATATTTTCCCCAATTGGTTTATCAGTGCATTTCTCCAGCACCCAGAACAGTGCTTGGCACACAGTGGATATTCAGTAAATATTTGTTGAATAAGTAAAAGAAGGAAGGAATAAAGCATTTATGCACCTCTGTTATGTACCAGATAGTGGGTGAACAAAACTGAGTTTCTGGCCTGCAAGGAGCTATTGTCTGTTCAGAGAAAAGCAACGAAAAATGTAATTAAATATTTAATGAAACCACCTCTTGGGATATAGCCCACAGATGTCCCTGCACAAATGGCCAGTGATATTTGTGCAAGATTATTCATTATAGCAATGCCTAGAATAGCAACAGAGTAGAAACCACGCAAGTGGTTCCATGCATAGAATTTTTTTTTTTTTTTTAATTTTTTATTGGATTTTAGGTTTTGGGGTACATGAGCAGAGCATGCAAGACAGTTGTGTAGGAACACACATGGCAGTGTGCTTTTCTTTCCTTCTCCCCTTCACCCACATTTGGCATTTCTCCCCAGGCTATCCCTCCCCACCTCCCCCTCCCACTGGCCCTCCCCCATGCATAGAATTTGGAGCTGCCTGACTGGGTTCACATCCCAGCGCTGCCACTTGCTAGTTTAGGCAATTTCTTAACTTTTTCTTCTCTGTAGAATGAGATTGTTTGTAAGTATTAAATGAGTATGTGCCTGTAATGTGCTTCTAACAGTGCCTGGCATAGGAGTGGGAGCTGTTTTCTTATTTGGTAGAAGTGGGTGGCCTCAGATATCTGTGGACATGAACTGTGTGGGCTGTGAGGAGAGGAGGCACAAGGCTAACTCTCAGTTCTTGGCTTGCACAATTGGGTTAGAATAGAACTCCAGGGGGATAAAATGTGAATATGCTTACATATCTTAATGTTATTACAGTGGAAATATTGAGGGCAGGCCCCTCGGGGTGAATGTCTTTAAACTGACCCATTTTTCATAGCATTCTCCCATTCTCCAATGATACTCTGTAAATTCTTTCTTCTGAACTATGAAGTGAGGTGTTGGCATGAACTGTGGAATAACCAAACTGCCTGGTGAATAAATGGCCTCAAATAAGTGTTTATTTAGTGAATAAAGCCAGGAACTATTTGTTAGATGAAGAAAGCTTGTCTGTTTTTATATTTACTGGTTTTCTTGAGCTTTCTTTTCTAAAAAAATCATTGATGCATAATAGATGTACATAGTGTCAGCATACCTGTGATAATTTGTAATAATTTGTATCATTCATAAAGAGCAAATCAGTATGTTTTACAATTACTTTTTAAAAACGCTTATTATATTACATGATTATAGTTTCTTCAAAAAACATCTTATGGATTTAAACAAAAATTTAAAAAGAAGAATAATGGATGAATAGTACCCATCATACCTATCTTAATCCCTGGCTTAATAGAGCGTTAAACTTCTACTATTCTTGGAAAAAATAGTTTCTTAACATTATTTTAATACCATTTATTTTTTCTCTTGAGTTTTATTTATTGTAAAAACAGCGCTAAAACAAAAGAGAAATTTTTAAAAAGTCATCTAAAATTGTATTACCCTAATTAACTTACTTTTGTGGTATTTTCTTATCCTTAGGCATACATAATGCAATATTTTTACATAATTAAAGCCATAACTTTTCCTCACTTAATATTGAAGCCTAATATTTTAAAATTTGTTGGGTCTTTATATTTAATGATTTTATTGAATAATAGTTCATCACTTGGATACACATAATTATTCCACCATTTCCTTATGTTGAGTACTAAGGTTCTTTCCAGCTCTTATTGTTATGAAAAACTTCGTTATATGAAGGACACACCTTCTCCTGGATCATTTCTCTTGAATAAATTTCCTGGAACAGATGCTGGGTCAAGATCAAAGTACTTTGCTTTTGAGCAGGTGGAGAGCAGTTGACGATATCTCAGGGGTGTCCCCATGGATAGTTCCAGTGTGACCCCGTCAACACTGGCAAATATTCAGTGGCTTTGAGCCATGCTTTTCCACATGAATTTATATTAATTTCTACATTTTATTCTAACTGTAAATCAGTCTAATTCATTACTTATTTTATGTTTTATTTTAATTAACAGATAATTGCACATATTAATAGGGTACACAGTGATGTTTCAATACATGTAATGTATGGTGATCAGATCAGGGTGACGAGTATATCTTTCATGTCAAATGTTTATTATTTCTTTTGTTGGGGACATTCAATATTCTCCTTGTAGCAATTTGAAGCGATATGATTTTTTTACTATTATTATTTCATACAGAGGTTTGCTCTTGTCACCCAGGCTGGAGTGCAGTGGTGTGATCTTGACTTACTGCAGCCTCTGCTTCCTCAGTTCAAGTGATTCTCCTGCCTCAGCCTCCTGAATAGCTGGGATTACAGGTGCATGTCACCATGCCCTGTAATTCTACTGTTCTTGGAAAAAAATAGTTTCTTAACGTTTTTGTAGTTTTAGTAAAGATGGGGTTTAACCATGTTGGCCAGGCTGGTCTCAAACTCCTGACCTAGATGATCCACCTGTCACAGCCTCCACCCAAAGTGCTGGGATTACAGGCATGAGCCACTGTGCCTGGCCTATGTGATATATCACTGTTATTATATAGTCATCCTACAGTGGTATAGAGCACTAGAACTCATTCCTCCTATCTAGCTTTAATTTTGTATCCTTTAACAAGTCTATCCCTATGCTCTCCTTTTCCCTACCTTTTCCAGCTACTTCTTAAAGAATTAACAACAACAACAGCAAGAAAATCATGTAAGCCAAGTGTAAGCTCCTTGGATATCTCTTAGTTCTGCAGTCGAATTGGGTTCTCTCATGTTTTAATATTGAATAGAGCAGCTGAGCCTATAGCATGTGTACTGAGGATGGCACGTTTACCCTAAGGTATCCTTCAAATCATGGAGCAGTGACCATTCTCAGAGTCATTGTTGTCTCCAGGAGCCTGCATCCGTTGAAACCTTGGATCTGTTTTGAATCTCACCTCCTGTTTCTGCTACTCACTCCTTTCCCTCTCCATTCAATTGGACAGGACTCTGAGCCCTTACTCAATTAATGAAAGCTGACATATCAGCTTTTTGGGTTTGGCCAGTTTTAGTGAAGAGTTGGGCTAGTGGAGGAGGGCTGAAGCATAGTTTGATACGAAGACATCGACGCTTTAAAAAACTCATAGTATAACCACGGCGGGGCTCAGGGGCTCAGCTCTCTCCCCGTGCTTGCAAAGATGTATCTGGGGGACGGGAGCAGAGCTGGGGGGGGCATCCCAAAGATGCTTCCAGTTCTTGAGCTTACCGTCGGAATAATGCTTAGCAGGGAGCGATTTGTGAGAGTGAGGTAAGGGGCCGCGGGTTTTGAACCTCGGAGTTATTCCCGCCCCATTCATGTTCTTGCCCAATGACAGGAGTTCTTTCAAACTTCCGCTGGAGTGATTGATATTTGACTCTGATACCAGATTGGCTGCTAGGTCAGCAACAGCGGTCCTTCCTCCCAGAGCTTTTCGCGGGCTTTTTGAACAAAGAAGCTCCTAGAATTTCTACCTAGTTGGCGTGGGAAAGT